GAGTGCTGCATCCAGATGTGAGGTACTCACTAAAGAAGAGATATAAACCAGTTGGAGCATGTCAAGAGAAGGGCCACAAAAATGATTCATGGAATGGAACACCTTTCCTGTGAGGGCAGGCAGAGAGATATGTGGTTGTTCAGCCTGAATAAGAGAAGGCTGCAATGTGACCTGATAGCAGCCTTTCATTATCTAAAGGGGAGCTACAGGAATGAAGGAGACAGAAGCTTTATGAGGATCTACGGTGATAGAACAAGAAGGAATTCAAGCTCAGGGAGAGTATATTCAGTTTAGATATAAGGAAAAAATATTTTACAGTGAGGCACTGGAACAGGTTACCTAGTTTTGTGATTGATGCCTCATCCCTGAAGACTTTATCCGTGTGATCTAACTGTGGTGTAGGGGAGTTGGACTAGATAGTCATCAGAGGTCCCGAAGGATTCTATGAGTCTATGATTCTATTTTTCTCCTATAAACTTTTAATTTCAACATTTTTAATATTTATCTTCACATCTCTAATTATCCCTTCCTCTAAAAAACTGTTTGAAATTCTTGCAATCAACAAGAGTTGGAATTGTACTGGAACTGGGTTATATTGGTTTTGTAAACAAGGCTATAAAGAATTAGATCTTTTCCTTTTTCAGATGAAAAGAACATGAGTATCACTGCCCTTTTAAACAAGGTTGCTAAGTTATCTTTGTCAGAAAACAATTGCAAAAATACGTATCTATGAGACAATATTCATGATGAAAATTCTGAAATCCAAGTGTCTAAGTCAAAGGAACACAAATGGGGAAATGGTGGATTTGTAAATAAGAACTCTAAATTGTCACTGTTACAACACTGTTTTTAACTGTGCTTTATAGCACTGAATTTTTAGATCTATTTGAAAGTAAACAGTTAATAGTCTATTTAAGAGTTAAACATCTCTGTGTTTTCCAAAGAGAGGCAGTAAAAGCAGTAATGAAATCCATGGTTTCTCTAATACTTTCACAATTAAGAATATTTTATTTTTCAGTGGGAGCTTCAATAGCATAGCTGTTACCCAAGCTAGTGTATATTCTCAACTTAAATTTTTAATTTGTTATTTAAGAAAAATTAAACCAGTAATTAAACTTTTAATCAAAATTTTCCACATGCAATGCAGCATTGCAACGATGCTGATGTAATTTCATCATTTAGACAAGCCTACACTGGTGATCCTAATAATGGATCAGATACAAAATGCAGGTCCAGTTACAAAGAGTTATTATCTAAAGAATTCACTCAATGCAAATGCAGACCTACTTTAAAAAAAATGTAGTAACACACAAAATATATATTTTTTTTGCATTGATCTGACACTGTCAAGCCAAATTAGCTAACACAGCAGTTTGCTGTAGGTCAAGACAAACAGTTTCCTTTTTCCAATCTTCTCTGCTGAATCAGTGACATTGCCATTGATTTATTGGAAAGGTAAAATTAATGTTCAAGCTTACAAATGACAATGTCCATTCTTTTTTTTCTTTTTCTTGTTTCTTTTTTACTTCTTATCAAAGCAATCATGCCATGGGAGGGATGAAATATGGAGTATCCTTGTTCCTATTTTTATTCTTTCTTTAAAAGAGTAAAAATAAAATAACCTTGTAGGGATTATAGGGGATTGATCCTGGGCAGGTAAAATTTCAATCATTATTAATCAAGCTACATGGGCTCAATTAAAAAAAAAAAAAAAAAAGATGTGTAGAATGAAATGGCAAGAAAAAAATATAAAGAAAAACTGGGGATTTGGGTCTACGGACAGAAGAGCATTAGTGCTATTTAAGAAGGCAAAAAACTATTCTTGTAGCAAAGTAGACGTTAAAAAAACCCTATTTCTTGTAAGCTGGAGATACCTTCTGAAAAAAAAAGGTGTAGGGTAAGGATCTACTGAAAACTCTGAAAAGTAATGTAAACAAAAATGTAACAAGCTTAACTGAAAATACTTTGGGACAAGAGAAATCTTATAGAATTTCTCCGTGACTTCTGTTTTTCATATGAGTAGATAAGCTGTTCTCCTTCTGGACCCCCCAGAAGTGTCCATCTTGCAAGGGTAAAGCAGAGAAGAGGACTCATCTCTGAGCTGGAAAATACCAAACTAAACACAGGCTGTATATAGAATTGAATTGTTGGGCATATAGTGAATAAATGACATGTGAAAAAGATAAGCCCACAACTCTTCAGAACTAGACTGCACTTAAACTTAAAATCTGTATTTTCTTCTTCAAAATTCACACATTAATGCACCAGGAATCTTATTTGTAGAAAATGCTATTTTATGTATCTAGAAGTCATTTAAAGCTGTATTACTTGTAGATTTCCTCTCTGAGTTCTGGGAAATTGAATTACTAATATGCACAAATGAATTTTTACAATATGAAGGAGGATACAAAGAAATCCTTAGATTTTTTTCTGAAACGTCTCAAAAGCGCAGATATTTTTCCTCTTCAGTATTTGTCATATCAAAAATTTTAGAGAACATAATGAAGTACAAAGTTCTTATTAAGAGCTTTTTGAGATATCTAATGAAAATTTGTGGCAGAAAAGAATCCTGATATACCCTCACTATTCCAACCTGGCACAAAAGCTTAAGGATCACATGAAGATCTGGATAACTGCCTCCTTTGTAAATATGAGGAACATATTCTATTTGCTATTTTCAGTGACAGCAATTAGTAGTGCACCAGCACCAATTCATGCACAGCCACTGCACTGCACACATGCAGTCAGAGCCAAATCATTAAATTCACCATGAAGCTATTGCTCAAGAAAATTCTTAGACTCGTTCTTCTTCATGGTATATTTTTTTCTTTTTTTTTCTGCTCATAAGAAAAAAACTAACCTGACAAATCTGAGCTTTGCCCCTTATTGCAGAGTTGTCAAGTTGCTCCATTTTTGGTTAATTGTTTTCCATGATAATATCCACTTTTACACAAAAAGAACGGTCAAAATTATTCTCATCTATCTTCTGATTTAGTCTTTTTAGTTGCACAGATGGTTAGAACTGAGAGAGAGATCTGAATTATGTGGGAATGGATTCTAGTCTTTCTTTTTTTCCCGTTTCAGAACAGAGCTTTTCCTCCTAGATCTAGTAAAACAGCTACACAAACTTAATATATTTCAGATGTTTTAGTCCACAGACTGCTACTGCAGCAATAATTTATTTCAACTGAAAATATTCAAATGATCTCCTATTCTCTCGTACTTTTACTGCCATCTTGTTAGAACAAAATTAGCCCAAACACAGCTCACCAGATTAGGTTCTGATGGATGACATGTACCAAACTCAGATTCAATTCTGACTGAAGATAAAAGACACAACTGCATGCCCGTCACTGCCATCGTTAACCATCTGTCATTACTCTCGAGTATGTTTATCTGTGATACTTACCTCCTTGCAGCTGTTTTATAAACAGAACACAAAATGATAAATATCTTAGCACTTAACCTTTTCTGAGACCTTACTTTCTGATTTAGCACCTAATTCTCACTCCTTACTTCGGTTTCCAAAACAAACCCACATAGATTGTTTTCTCTGCCATAATTTAGCACTTAGAGGACTAAAGTCTGAAGTTTCATTTTGAAGCAGCATATACAACTTCAAAGTATCCAATATTTTTCTTGACATTTTCTTATTAAAATAATAGGTATTAAATATAATTATTATTAAATATAATTATTAAAATAATAGGTATTAAAATAATAGGACATTTTCTTATTAAAATAATAGGTTTCCTGGATATATCGATGTCTGTGTTCGTGTGTCTATATGTTACAGGAGACAAGAGAATACTACCAATTAGAAGTACAACACTGTACCTGTCCATAAAGGGGGAATTATGCAAATTGAGATTAAAAAATTATGCATAATTTATAATTTATGCCATAATAAATAATATAACTTATGCCATAATAAAAACAACATCGTGTTACTAAAATGTGGTGAACAAAAACCTCAAAATCATCAGGCAGTTTTGGGGAAAAAAAAAAAGTGTTAAACCATTCAGCTGCAGAGTCCAGGAGTAGCTTCTTTGTATTATTTATTTTTAAACTTCATCTACGAATCAGTGTCTTCACCTGAAAAACTGGAATTGCTGCTGTGATGTTGAACTACTGAATATATGGCATTTAAAATTTAACAAATGTGTTCTATCTAGTAATAATTTTGCATAAATTGATGTGATGTTTCAAGAAAACACAGATTTCAAACTCAGACCCTTCTCTTGCTGAGGGTCTAGTAACAGCCATGCTTGCTCTCATCTCGTGAATCTTATGTGTAAAAGGAAATGTTAATAAATAAATAAATAATCATTAACTCTACCTGACAAATCCTATCACTGGTTTCTGTGTTTCAGGAGCCTTCTCCCTTTCTTCCTGTTTTATTTTGTTTTGTTTTGTTTTGTTTTTCCAAATAAACATATGATAACTTATAGAGAAGAAGGTTTTAGTCTCTATTCATTATTTGAAATATACTAACTCACAGTGTTAGCATAAGTCATGGGGAAAAGTTTAGGACTACCGCATTTAAAAATAAGTAAAGACTTAGTACACTTGCTGCATGAATTTGACTCTCAAGAGCCCCCAAACCCCTAAATGTGCATAGTTTTCTCAATTCTCAGAGGTATGATTAGTATAATCTTGCCTTTTTCTACCTGTCCAGCCTGTAAGGAACATGAAACACCACCTATTCTCTATATATTCAAATACAAGCTATAGTTTTTCTGTAGTCAGATAGCAACATTGCAATAGTTTTCCAATGTTTGTGCCTTACTAAACCCATCCAATTAATCAACTGCAGCTTTAATCTGCTAACTATAAAAATGTAGATACCATTGTTCACTGGAAACAAAAACAAGCAAACAAACAAACAACAAAAAAGTGTGATTATCATTAAATTCATAAGAACATCCATGAATACTCATTTTCCTGAAGTTAATTAGATAGAACACATATAAATAACTGAATAGTTTGAACCAACATACCAATTTCCACTGGGAGGTGGTTGATTTGATTTTTTGATAACTCCAGAACTCTCAAATCTTGAAACAAAGCAATATAGTCTGGAATTGTTTGAATCAGTGTATTGCTTACATGCCATTCTTTCAGATAGGTATGATCTTTCAGAGACTCTGGGAATTCCTGTAAATTAAATAAAATTGTATAAATAGAAATGAAGATAGAATTTTGTTCAACCATGTTTCTAAATAGGATGGAAAGAGCTTTTATGGCCAAACCTCAACACTTCACCTTACTTGTCTTGATGTAGAGCAGCAGTTTGCCAAATCCTCACAGGACCTGATTTCATTTGAAGCACTGCAGTTGTCCGTGAGCATACAGTCTTTTTTTTTTTTACTGCTGATGCAATCATTTTGCTCTAAAATTGATACCTATCTGAAGCACTCACATGCTTGGTCTTTCTCATATTATCTCCTCTTCCCAGCTTGAGGATTTTTCTAAAACACATTTTTGTGCTTTAATTCACATATCAAGATACAGTCAAATGCATCACAAGAACAGAATAGCAGGTGTATGGGAAATATCTAAGTGGCTTTTGCCACCAAAACAAAAATTTGTGTGCCAAGATGAAACATGGTCAAAGGAACAAAAGTGTTATAGATACAATATGTACATATTGCTTTTGGAAAGTTGTATTTAAAATCAGTGAAAAAAAATCCAGTCATTTCAGCAGTTTGTGGTATTTTACTCTTTTTTTTTTTTCTTTTAAGAAGAATAAAAATATTCAGCATTTATATCAGTCCATAATTGCATTTAGTTCTTATTTTAGTCATACAAAATATTTTTTCCTTAAAATTTCTAGGATTATTTCAAATACACAGAAATTAAGCTTGCTTATGAGTACTTTCCATGCAATATTTTACTGGTCCAGAATCTCCTGTCTATTACAATTACACAAACCAAGGTTTTTAAAGCCCTTAATTCTTAAAAAAAAAAAAAAAGAAGAAGTATTGTGTAACATTTATTTAACTTACTTATTATTCAGTTCAGATGTACATATCTTTGAATTATGTCACCAAATTGATTAAACTTGGATCAGATAAAAATCAATTCATAGAACTGATGGTTAGATCATTTAAACTCAGCTTTGTAAACCAGCACATAATTTACCAGTTTATATCTGGAATAAATAATTTGAATGAGATGCTATTCCTGACTTTATTACATTAGAAGAGAAGTAATAGTTACAGTCTTCAATTATTTTATATCTTACAACATTGTTTGCTGTGTATGAAGAATTCTACAAGGTTTATTTTCTTCTAAGACTCATAGATCCCCCAAGACATTAAGTAGGGTGATACACTTCAAATTTTTCATTTGCTTTATTTTTTAAACAAACTCTGGATTTGGGAGATTGCTCCTTAACTTGTATCTAAATTAAAACTTCTAATTAATCAAAGCTATACTTGACTGTTGATCACAATTTGCTTTTAGTTTAGTTATTTCTATCTTAAATGTCAGTGCTTTTCGAAATTTACACATGCAGACATGTAGTCTAAACATGCAGTTCTGCCTTACTACCTTTCCTTTGATGTTTGATATGGATTATTTCATTTCTTTCTTCATTTACCCACTACATGTAATTTCATTATGATCCATCCTCTATATATATCTGTTTCTGGCAGCTAAAATAAAATGCCTGAAATGCCTTAAGGCTAGTAATGAGAAATCTCTCCATCTTTCTGGTGTGAGTTACTACATCACACCAGTCTGCACATTTTTTTTCTGCAGCAAAATAAAACAAATAAATAAATACCAACAGTGAATTTAGTTAGTATTGTTTTTCCCACCTCCACAGAACTGAAAATGCATTACATAGGAAATAGCATTTATCTGGAGTATCACAGGTGCTACTGTAAGCAAGAACACCAGTTCATTAAGAAAGTAAATGTACAACATTAATACAAGACAGAAAAACATCTCTGTGAAACAGACATGATTTGCAACTCTGCATTTCTACTGTTATGCCATTGTCCAGGTTTGTCTTGGTTTATTCCACTGGTGTACGATTTTTTTTCCCTTCTTATCAAAACAAAATCTCTTCAGTTCCTAACTGTCAGATGCATCATGGAGCGATGGGGAACACTTGCTCTTGTGAAGCAAATAAATGTGTTCTCCCGGAATGAAGGGGGTATCCCGCAGATTTCTTAATACATTTGAAAGACATTAAAAAACAGAAATCACTCTCAAATAAAAATTAAACTGCCCAGCTTCTTCATGACTTCAGAAAAAAATTACAGCCAAAATATTTTAAAGTTGATGATTAATAAAAAAAATGCTTAAAGAAAAAACATATCATTATTACTCATTGTTTAAATAGTGTCAGGATATTCTTGTGCAATTATTAACATAAACTCAGGCATAGCACTCAAGGAATGGAACTAGATCCCATCATTCTACTAGTTGTCCAGACTTATTTTCTGTCTTTAAATTATTTATTTATATAATATTCAAGAAAGGATTTCTTTACGGTCAGAGTGATGAAGCACTGGAACAGGCTGCGTAGAGATATTGTGAAGTATCCTTCTCTAGAGATACTCAAGATCCGCCTGGATACCCACTCACACAATCTTCTGTAGGGGATCTGTTTTAGTAGGGTCTTGAACTAGATGATCTCTAGATGTCTCTTCCAACCCTACAATTCTGTGATATTTACATTTTGCAAATGTAATTTTACAAATCCTTTTGCTATAATGTGCTTTTCTTTAGCATTCTCAATCTTACTACACATTTGACAGCGTTAATGAAGCATAAATTGATGTGATATTTTACTTCATTTACAAATTAGATAGGTTGAGCACTGCAATTTGCTGTTTTATGTCTGCTTTACTCTCTAATTTCACTGTACTCTTTTGTAGTCCTCTGTTGCCATGCTAAAGCTGGCAGCCTACTGATAAATTACTCCTCTAAGACTGACAGTTGGATGATAGCCAGGATTTCATTTTAACAGCAAAACAATATCTACAAGTACTTTCATTTGGAAAAAAAGAAAAACGGTGTTAAAAGAAAATAAAAAGCAAATGTAATAACATTGCTGATTTTACTGCTTCCAAATAAGAGAGAATTTACCTGCTAGACATGAGTCTGAATTAAAACTGTGATTGAATTTTTCAGCTCTGAAAAGTTTACTTTCCTTTTCTATTTCTAGCCCTGTCATCTGACCTATCATTGACCAAAACAAAACTTTGAGTGCAGATCTGTCTCATTTCTTAGCATCTTCGGATCTTTGGACCAAAAACTGGATTAGGCATTTTGTAAAATCAAGAGGGAAATTTTCTCTGGAATTGAGAAAACAGAGACATTTTGTCTGTCCATTCTGTGCATTGATTCTACTCAATCTCTATGGTAAATACATCACTGTCACTAATAGCTGAAAGTAACCAGTGGAAATTATCTGTTCCCAGTGAAAAGAGAGTGCAAGTCAGATGATAACACTGGCAGAAAAAGTATAAATGAAAGAATTAATCTGCTGCCATTTTGTGAGAAGAAATCATATGAGGAAGGCCACAATTGACTAGTAAAGAATTTTCAATCACTCAATCATCTGTTTTTTGCACGTATTTTAGTTGTTTAAATCTATTGGATCCAGATTATCTTTTGAGGAAAAGCAGAACAGCCAAGTGCAGTTCTGCTCTGTATTTGAATGAACATCTAATTTATTTGCCAACACGAAGATAAAAAATTCAAAAAATTGCTTTTCCTGAGCATTTTCTGAAAATGATTTTAAATTTATTTATCCACTAACGAATAAATATTCATTAGTTAGGAGCAGAAAGCAAACACTAAGATGGGAAAATTCCTTGAAAAATTCATGAATATTCATGGCGTTATTTTCTAGTTTTCATTCAGCTATAGTGGCAGTGCTGTTTTTCTGAAGAAATAGTTTAATTCAGTAGATATATGCTTACACACAAAGGATCTCAATTTAGTGTTTCATTAACTCTCCATTGTTTTCTCCTATGCAAATAATTAAAACGTACAGTTCAAGAGTCCAAAATCCCTAAAGAGCTCCTCTCTATGGTGGATTTGCCTGAAAAACTGTTAGAAAAATTAGAAATGTTTCTGAAACATACTTTCGCAATCTTGAGTTACTTGTAGAACAGTATACTTTTCTCATAATGACATGTCTCGAGGCTGTTGTAAGCACAATAGGAAAGAAAAGAGAAAAGCCTGTCTGACTTCATTCATAGTATCGAATTATAGGACAAGCCTGTTTGTTATTTTAAAATCTTTTCTTTGTTACTTTCTTGTATCAGCACTTAAATATAAGTACTAATTAATCACTGCCCCCATCTTGCCAAGGTACACACAGGGATGTAGACACTTGAGACATAAATATTAGATTGGTATACTGAAAGGAAGCTAAGGGTTATTGAACCTTATGGGTGCTGTCACAGAGACTCTTCAAGGTGGAGCTGTGACAAAGGTAAAGCTATTTCATTACTGTAGTTTTCAACCACAATTCCTAGCGAAAATCTACCCATTCTGAAGAGGCAGAGCCAAACTAATAGTCAATTTACTCTAAGATTCAGAGAGACTCACTGAGTCTAAATTACACAGCGGTAAAGGTTTGATATTGGTATTGCTTATACTATTTTTGCTTAGAAAATTTCCAGTGCAGCCATACTCTTATAATAAAACTATATTGACCTGAGACATCAGCTGGCTCAAATTAGCCTAAAAGTGAAGCATAATTATTAAGAATTTGTTCCACAAGGAAATGTGGATCTGCATATATAGAATACATTTCTTTACAATCATATACTGTAAAATCGAGTCCTACTCTATTTATCTAAAAGTCTCTGCCAACTTACTTAACTTAATATTCATTGTATGAATAATTGTCTCAGAGATTATAAAATAATTACTTTATAATTTAAACGAACAGCAGGAATTCACATAATTAAAATGCAGTATCATTTCCATGACATTTAAGGAGTGGGACATAGGTGGAAGGACAGAATTCCCTTTAAAAATTCAAGTTGTGTGTTTTACTCTGAATTCCTCTACTACTAAGCCTCTCCAAAGAAGATCCAAGACGATTTTCTTCAGACCACTCTCCAGATTATTTCAAAATATTTGTACCCATTACTGAGCTTGTACTCAACAGTGGTGAATCACTAAGCCACAGCTACACTGTATAAACCTAAAGCATGAGACAGTGAGTAGCAGCTTTGTTGTAACATTTTCACCATCCATAGGTGAAAGTAATGCCTCCTATTTATTTCCATGGAAACTACAATGGATACAAAGAGCATGATAACACAATTTGATAGAACAAATTCTCAGCTATAAAACACTGTTTTTCAACATTTTTGCCAGCAATGAACATGTGACCTCCATGCCACACTTGGAAAAATCTGCTCCAGCAGAAGTGGCCCACCATTTCACAGCTGCTATTCCAGCACTGTTGCAAGAAAAATATTTCCCCAGTCCAACTTTCATCAGCCTAAACAGATGAAAGTCAGAAGGTACTAAATCCAAACAATACAGTGGATGTGGTAGGACAGTCCTGCCAAGAATTGGCAAGGTGCTCTATGGTCTCCAGAACGGGACCTGGTGTTATCATGCTGCAAAATAAAGGCCATCTTCTTCTCTGGAGCATGAGCCTTCAGTTTAGTCAGTGTAGCAATGTAGTGATCAGCATTATAGTTTGTCCAGGTTTCAGAAAATCAAGAATGATCACACCTTTCCTATTCCAAAACACAGTGCACATCACTTTATCCACTTAAATGTGCATCTTGAACTTTTTATGGAGAATCCACATTCCTGCTGTTTTGACGCTGGCTCACAGTGATAACACCGTGATTCCTCAGCAGTAGTGTTATGACCCCAGAAATTGTCTCCTTCAGCCTCGTACTGGTTCAAGAGGTCCTGACAAACTTGTACACAGTGTTCTTTCTCTTCCTGAGTGAGCATTTGTGGGACCCACCTAGCACAAAATTTCAATATTCCAATGTTGCCACCAGTATTTCCATTGCACTAAAGCCAATATATAGCTCCATATAGTTTCCCGGTCATAGTCCATCAGTTTGCATGGATGACCTGATTGTGACACTTCATTTCATGGCGTACAGGTGCGCAAGGCCATTCTGAACATAGCTTATCTTTTGCATTCCCTTCCGAAATATACAACCCACTGCCTCATTTTGCTACATCCACTGTTTGGTCTCCAATAATTAGCAAGCATCACTGATTGCCAGTGGATGCGATTTTTTTAATCATGAAGGAATTCAGTTCCACACCTTTGCTTCATACACACTTCTATGTCAGACACTACTGTGTCAGATTGCTCTTCTGCTGCCATCTGTCACACAATAACAAATGTAACGAAATACTGGTGAGAAGATTCAACCTCTAATGCAATACCACCATCTGCTTCTGATGTCATTGGCCAACACAACGAAACAGGAAGCACTACATTTGGAGTAGCCCTCATAGAAAAAAAAATGAATACTAATGAATATCCAGTAAAAGCAACTATTCTAGTTTAACAGTGAAATTTGACGTGAAAAATAACTCCATTCGGTTGTTTGTGTGCTCTTTCCATTTGCCACTGAAGTTTTCAGAGAGACTTTACTTGGGGACCTTATAAAGATACAGCAAAGCTACTTCCTTCTTGTAAAATCCCTATTGCTGGCAATTATTGTTCTGTGAGATTTACTTTTACAGCATTCAGAAAGAAAATTGGTACATCCCAGAAGAAAACCAGTTCCCATAATTATGTCTGTAAGTCAGAGCAATAATATACAGTTTGATATGTCTACTATCAGAAGGAGATATCACTGTTTCATTGGTAAAATTAGAAATAGAATAGAAATACTTACTAGTTAAAAAAGAGGAAGAAAGGGGATTCAACAGTTAATTCCTGAATGGACACCTAGCACAGCTTTTCTGTTTAACACTGCCAAATTAGTAGATTACTCAATGGGAAGCCAAACTTATATGCTTGCAAGTCTACATAAGCAAACCCACTTTTGATACGTTCTACTGTTTGAGTGCTTAATTGTCCAAAACTTAGTCAGTGATTAATTTATGTGCAAAATCTGTAACAGAAACTAGAATGTCATTGATATTACCACTCCTGGCTAAATAAAATACAGGCTATTTGTCAAAAATTTTGACATGTTTACAGATATTTTTACATAGAAATTGTCAACCAGTACAGCTTTGGTTGCATAGTCTGCAAAATCGTTTTCCATACCTGTACTTTCTTTTAATAGAGTTATAGAGAAAAAGAAGCTGCGTCTGATTCTGTCTTTAATTTGGGCAAATAATAACAATAATCATAAGTTACATAATCTTATAACAGGACAAATCATACTAGAATGCCATGAAAAACATTAAAATACATGCATTTGTTTTTTGCCTCCTAATGTAAGTCATGTTTGATATGACAGAGTGAAATGTTACCTATTTGGTAAAAGCAAGCAAGTAAGAGAAAGCTTTTAGCAGCTTTCCACTCCTTGATGTGATGTAGATATTTGTAGTTAAGTGTATAATATGAAACTACACAGCTTTAACATGACTGTAAGTATCCAAGATCTTGACACCTAAGACATGACAGTTCTGCAGCAACTAATCTCATCATTTGAATGACTGCAATCACATGAAGAAATGTTCTCTACTAGAGCTAGATGGGAACTAGAATTTTTATTTTTTTGTTTGTTCAGAAGACAACTGGAATCAGAAAGGAACCGAAGACTATACCTCTGTATCCAAGTTTGGGACAAAGTTGTATTTCAGGTCAACCAAAACGATTGCTTCCATAGCATTTACTGGCCTTACTGTTTGACTTTTTAATTTGCAATTTTCATAATGAAAAATTGAGAATAATTATCTCGGAATTATAAACTCAAGAAAAATCAAATTTCTAATTTTACTGTCTCCTTAATAAAGTAGTATGTATTCTAAGTAAATTTCAGTCACATCCTTAGCAACTCTAACATTAGTTTTGATTAGAACACAGCTTGAAAAAAAATGTTACAGCATTAGAGCAAAAAAAAAAAAAAAGATTTCCAACTAGTAGAAGACAAAAACAATTCAAAGGTGAATATTATTTTCACCTCCTTCCATTCACTAGGAAATTACAGAGAAAAATACCTTATTGTAATGTGACTGCTCGCTCCCACAATTTTGAGAGGACTAGACATCATATATCAGCAGAAAAATTAAAATAAGTATATTTGAAAGCTAAACCTCTAGTGCAGTGTGGCATAGGAAACATTTTCTCAGTCCTAACACAGTATCATTATAACATGCACAGGCAATGAAGAAACATTTGGAAGCATTAAAAGTTACAGTGTCAAGCTACTTAAACTCCCTAACAAAGAAGTATGCTTGCCGTTATATTTACCATCCACTGTTCTCCCGAAAGATGAAAAATAAATTTGTTTCTCTCCTTATTTGTTTCATCTGACAGACTAAGCCTCTTCTGTAGCTGAGGAGTTTTTCCACATGTGTCCAAGATTTTCTCATCAATATCTACAAAGCCATTCTTGAGGTATTTTGATTGGGGAATGCCTTTCTTCCGGCATTCCAGTATGAAATTCCATTCCTGCTTTATCCTGAAATAGTGCGAGAAAGTTTATGAGAATCAGATTTGTTTGCACAAATAACTTACAAAAAAAAAAAAAAAAAAAAAAAAAAAAAAATCACGCACCTAAGGTATTTAGAAAAACAAATGCATTCTTGCGGTCATACTTAGATTTTCTAGACTGACATAGATTTCAGATAGTCAGGAATTCATATGGTTAGAATCAGACAGTGACTTCCTGGGAATTACAGAGATGTAAAGACTGAGACCATTGTCACAGAACTCAGCGTGAAATATGCCCTTTATTTCATATGAAATTAAACAGAGATATGATACGAAATACATTCTTAGAGAACAAGTTATGTGCATACAGAAACAATGATCTGATAATATATGCAAAATCTGCAGTTAAAAAAAGAAAGCATTTTAACATATTCCCTTTTTCCTGCCCTTTCCTGTTTGGGTATAATGATCCACTTCCATTTTTTTAACATTTTCTTCCAACATCACCTTAGGAGAGAAAAGGAACTAATTTCAGTTTAAACCTCATTGTAACTTTAGGCTCACCTCCAGGGCAAAATTTTACCCATGTGACTTCGGGAACAAGTTCAATTTCATATAATTATGCAGTGCTAAAAGGTCATGCTTTATTTTAAGAGAGATTTATTTCAGCTTAGTCAATTAAGAAACAGGCTGATTAACAGAAGTAGACCTTTCTTACACCAAAATAAAACTCTTCAGAGCCCCTCGTGGCATAAATCTTTTCTCACATTTGAAATGCTAGATTCTTCTGGTATGTAAGGTTCAATTATGTGATCTCCACCCTCTAGCAGAAATTTTAAGCTAAAGATTTGAAGAAAACTGACAAGTGCAGATGGATACAAAAGATGGGGATAAAGTTCCCTTTAGAGAATGTCATGAATGGCATGTTCTAGAAAGAGAAGCAGATGTAAGCGTGTAAAGTTTAAGCAGAAAGTAACTAAACCTATAAACATATTCCCAGTTAAGCATGGGATTTTCTCTAAAATGTTAAATTGTTGAAACAATATCATATGAGCCACAATATCTGGTTTAAAATTATGTACAGGGAATCAGTTACAAAAATAAATTCAAGAAATATCTTGAAAACATGTTGAAAATATGCAATTTTTTATATTCATAGAAAGGCATAAGAAACATAATAGCAGAGTATATTTTCAGGATTATGACACTGTACATCAAAAGTCATATTTAACGTACAACTTTGATATAAATATAAGCAAATAAGAGTCAGAACTGCTTGCTTAAATAAGGAAGGATATTACTGAAAGGGCATTACTAGGCATTAAAGTGCCTAGTGCAAATTGCTGCGCTTACCGAAAAATTAGGGAGTGCTGGAATGAGCAGAAGGTGAAGAGAATGGCAACAGGTATCTAAAGTGACATGATGCAGTCACTTTATCACACATGGCCTTATCAGAGTAGCTAGTCCAAGAGACCACAAGGGACATAAATTGGTTTCAAGCAAAGAATCCCATACATGGATCATCAGGGTACTACAGAATGCCTAACAACCACTAATATTCTTATGCAAAATCCTTATTAAGAAAAAAATAAGAAAAAAATTTTCTTTTTTTTTTAAATTAAAAAATGCTTAGAGATATCTAAGAAGAATAACTACGTATAATAGCCAAGTTCATTAACAATGTAGCTCACTCAGTAAAGTATAGCCAGACTGCAGAAAGACACACAAACTCAGAGTAACTATATTGAAATGATGGGATAATTTTTTTCTTTTATTTCTGAAACCAGAGAAAAACTGAAAAAGAAAGTAGCATTTGTGTTTAAATAAAGAAATGGGAAGGAAGTAGAACTCCAACAAATTAAATGCAGAACCACAAAGACAAATTAGGTCACAAAGTGATGAACAAAGGTACACGGATAAATTGGAAAATAATTTCAAGTATATCAAAAGCAGAAAGTCTCTCAGTAAGATGGTGGGAGCAATAACATCAATATATGAAAGAAAAAGTTAAAACTTTAAGAATTCTGTGATTCTGTAAAAAGAAGTTATTAAGAGAGCAAGTTGCTAAGAAAGGTACAGAACAGCTAAATTCACTCTTGGCTTCAGTATTCATAGAGAGATCAGTATGCTCTTTACAAGTGAAAATCTGTACAACTTCTAAAGTTTGTCAGCAGAATAGGCTTGTGAATAAAAAATGAATAAAGTTACCTAAAACAAATATCCCAGCTTCTGTTAGTGCCTAATTGTGAACTGCTTTACATAGCACAGCGACCTGTAAGTGAGCAAGGAGGAAAAAGTGGCCAATAAAAAATGAGCCTACTAAAACATTTCCGCTCATGAAGTCTCAGAGAGCAACTGAAGTTGTCAGCATACTCAAGAAAGACTCCAACAGCATCTCAAAATCTTTTCCTAAGATACTTGATGTAGCAATAGAAAATTGGTTAAAGCAGAGACAGTTGCTTAGCCCATTTTGTGATCTTTCAAGAAGCTGCATCATTTACCTCTAATTACAGAAGGACATAATCCAATGTATGCAATTGCACAAGGAAGCCCTACCAAAGAGTATTCCCATTAGCTGCACACTGGAAAGGAAAAACAGGATTTTCCTTATCAGGAGATACGAGAGTTGAAAAACCTCTTTTAGATGCTCTGACATGACAGCCAATTCAATATCAATGTTGATCTTGCCTATTCAGTCATGCATTTGAGAGATCACTAGCAAAGTGACAAAAAAAAAGAAAACAGACAATGCATTATCAAGAGTTCAATACAAAAAGCTAATACATAACATATTCTAATAAGAAAAATAAAGAAGCCCTAAATACCTACTCATTATTTTAATAAAAAATTTCTACTGAACACATCTAATTAGCTATAAAATCTCTCTATTACTGTATAAGGTGGGTGGAAGGTGAAGTGTGAAGAAAAAAATACTGAATTGAATCCTTCAGGAAGAGAAAAAAAAAAAAAAGAGGATTTGAACCATTAAACAGAAGAAACTGAAAAGAACCAAAAACCCGGTGTTTTTCTTTTCTAAAATCTTCTACATAATCCTAGCATTATGAACAACTGCTCTTTCTCACATCCTCCTCCCGTTCTTTTGCAACTTTTCAATCCATCTGTGAAGTTTAACTTTGCAATACTGCGCTCTTCTTTCTACTAAATTCCTTCTTTTTGAACAAAAGAATTAAGCATTTTTGAATCACGGACCTTAGGAAGAGAAGTGTAGAAGGCTTGGATCTAAGATTTTACCCTCCCACAATGAATGCTATAGGAAAGGGTAAAAAGAAGAACTTTGTAAAGAGGGAAGAATACACTGTCCTCTGACACTTTATTAGTAACACATACGGAACACAAAACTCAGGAGAAAATGACACAATGTTAGACAAAAAATAAAATGCACATTAACAAAAAATACTGTTAACCAAATTAGTTAGTGAAATGTTGACTTCAGATAGAAGATAGACATTAAAAATAAAATACAGTGAGGAATTCAGCATGGCTATCACTCACTAATGTGGAAATCCTATGGCAAAAGGATCTGTTCTATTTTGGTATCACAGAATCGGAGGGGTTGGAAAGCTTTTTTGAGACCATCCAGTCCAACCTCTCTGCTAAAGCAGGTTCCCTGCAGAAGATAGCACAGAAAAGCATTCAGGTAGGTCTTCAACGTCTCCAGAGGAGATTCTACACCCTCTCTGGACAGTCTGTTCCAGTGTTTTGTTACCCTCAAAGTAAAGAAGTTCTTCCTAATGTTCGTATGGAACTTCCTGTGTTCTGGTATTTGACCATTGTCTCTTGTTTTGTCACTGCACATCACAGAAATTTGACTCCCACACTTCAGATATTTATAAACATTGATGAGATCCATCTCAGTTTTCTCTTTGCCAGCCTTGAAGGCTATTACATGAATCTTGAGATTTTCAGAACATATATATGTATATATATGCGCACATATACATGTATATGTGTGTGTGTGTACGCATGTACCAACACATAAAAAATCAGCTTTTAGATGTGCTAATATTCTTCTAGAGCAACTATATTTCACATCTTGGCACTTTAAAGGGTACAGATATTCCACATGTCCATGTACGACAAAAAAGTCGAGATAGCTGCAAAATTACAGCTCTCCTGAAGTTTATGGCTTCTTATTACTATAAAAAGTAGTAATAAGCTATTTTTATCTTCCTCCAGATCTTAATTTAGCCACTGTAGTCAGATTAAAAAAAAAAATAATAAAAAGTCTGTTTTTTGTGAATGTTAGTCAAGTAAAGCCCAGTGGGTTTTAGGTGGGAGTATGCATATAGGAATATTTTTTCTGGGTTTAGGACCCAGACGAGATTTAGCTCATCTGGCTACTCCAGTATGTCAACATCAATCATTAAGTTGTCTGATTAACTGTAAAAAGGCATATTACGTGTCACTTACATTTGTCAAAAAAGACATATGTTTCATATCTTTGTAACACATTACTATGAGTTTCAATGTTTTCCTAGTAACTGGAGAATAATTAGGTTTGTTTGAATGGTTCTCCCTTCTACAATTACTCACTGCTCAGTGGCAGTATAGGAAGTCCTGAGGAAAAAACTAAGTGAATGTTAAGTTCACTTCTTCACTTCATCTTAAGTGAATTTCTTCACATCTTAAGGGAAGAAATGAAGTTTCATTTAAATGGCACTCTTTCCTCTACACCAGGATAGAGGGAGTAGACATAACACTACATGGCACCAGTTAAGTACTACTCAGTGATATTTAAAGATAGAACCACTAGCCATGTAGGATCATTAAATAATCCCATGGAATTTTTACAACAGCAGCTCAGCCCAGACTAATATTACTGACAGATGAGTAATATTTCCCTCAGTTTCAAATGGACTAATTTCATTTCAATTCTTCTGCCAGACTCTTCCATAGTTTGCTAGGGATTGTGGCTGAGCAGCAACTTTTATCTTTCAACTCACTTGCAAGCATTATATTAAATGTAAGTTCTGTATGCATAAATGCGTAAGAAAAATAGCAAATAGT